CTGTATTTATCGATTATTTTGCTGTTGTTTGTCAGGATACTTCTAGTAATGATTTGCTTATGTGTAGAGATTATATGCTTTTTGATAGGACCTTCGCTGTATGTGCTGTTAGACACCTTGAAAGGGATGTTGTCGTCTTTCCTATATATTGAGTTCGTTGGGACTGACAGTCCCCAAGTGGGGAAGCGAAGGCATAGATGATATTCATCTCTTTCAAGAGGGTTTGTTTGATGACATTCAAGAGTTTCATAAGCAAGTTGGCAGTCTTCTTGCTCTTATTGCATATTTATTTAATTCAGTCCTTTGGTTGGTGTCGGTAGGGGTCACATTTCTATCAGTAATGTTTTTGAAGGCACTTCCGTTTTGTGGAGAAGACGTTCCTGTAGGTTGACCAATCGACAATCGACTTGAGAATGGTCCAGGACGGACCGAAACGTCGTCGTCCCTTCACCTTCTAGTGTGTGGTCTGGTCAACTTACTTTAGCCACGTTATTGTGACTCATCGCCTGCACGTTCCTTGTAGAATATTTTAATAGTAGGGACCAGTAATGTACTTGTTGTCTGTTTCATCTGATGGTCCCATGGTGATTCACCTTCTTTTAGTTATCTTTTCGACGGATCTGTTAGAGTATTCATTACTAATACTTGTCTTACTATACCGAGTTCCTTGCCATCCGGCTACGAACTGGACTTGTGAGTGCACGGTTGACATAGGCATTGACAACTGAAATGTAAACGAGAAATGATGTAATGAGAAAGTGGAGTGGGCCAAGTGTACTACCTTGCGGAACGCCATTGATAATCGGCAGTGTGGGAGAAGCAGCATCGTTCACAGGAAAATATTGATATCTCTCACTGAGGTTAGATTGTAAGTCTTGTAGGGCGTGACCCATGATTCTAAAGTAGTGTAGTTTGAGAAGGTTAATGTGTTCAACTGTGTCAAATGCCTTATGCAGGTCAACAAATAGACCTAAGAGGTACTCATTTTTGTCAAGAGCTATATGTATCAAGTCAAACATATTAATTAATGTACCGTTGGGGCTTTTTTTTTTTTGAGGTCTGAAGTCATGTTGGCAAGATATATGCATACCATGTTTCTCTAGGGACGAGTAAAACTATTTATACAGTAGCTTCTCAAATATTTTGGACACTGTGAGTAGGACTGATATTGGTCTAAAGTTATTGATTTTTGTGAGGTCATCAATTTCATGGACTTGGATTCTTTATGCAGGCGATGAGTCTCAATAACGTGGCTGAAGTATGTTGACCAGACCACACACTAGAAGGTGAAGGGACGATGACGTTTCGGTTTGTCCTGGACCATTCTCAAGTCGATTTTGGATTCTTTAGCCTTTTTTAAAATATCGGGGAAGGCTCAGAGTTACCTGGTTGATACCTGGTTGATGGGGTTCTGGGAGTTCTTCTACTCCCCAAGCCCGGCCCGAGGCCAGGCTTGACTTGTGAGAGTTTGGTCCACTAGGCTGTTGCTTGGAGCGGCCCGCAGGCCCACATACCCACCACAGCCCGGTTGGTCCGGCACTCCTTGGAGGAATAAATCTAGTTTCCTCTTGAAAATGTCCACGGTTGTTCCGGCAATATTTCTTATGCTTGCTGGGAAGCAAGCATAAGATGTATTTTAAGATTTGACCATTCCTGAGAAAGCGACCCACAACAGTCGACTAACAACCAAGTTCCTAATTACTGCTAGGTGAACAGAGTTCAAGTGATTTATTGTATAATAATATTATGATCGAAGCTATAACACGAGGCATTTTTTATATAATTAGGGCTAGAATCTCAAAGAGGGGATTTGATTTAATTTTAAGTGAAAGGATTATATTTATGACAGCTGAAGAGTTTGTTTGGGATAGACACAGACCTCCAGATACCTGTCTGAAAGATAGTAATTTACATTGATTTGAGTAAGTTTAGTATTTTTGGTTTCCGTTGGTAATTATTTGTATTTGCAGTACACGGGTGAAGCACTTGAGGTGCGGCTCGAACACAGGAAAAGAGCGAAACACTGTTAAAGAAGTGTGAATGCAATTAATTGTGAGTCAACTTAATTGTGTAGTATACTCTGTATACCTGTACCTATATACCTATAGGTATATACCTGTATACCTATGTGGACAACTCCATCTGTTGGTGGTGGCATGGCAGCAATGAATGGCTCCAGTTTCCTGCCCTAGTTAGAAAGAGAGGTTGATGTGGATGACCTCTGGTGGGTGGTGTGTCACGATCAGCGCCATCTAGGTTGTGCTACGAGCACAATATCAACTCTCCCGTGAACGAGTGTTACCCCCCCCCCCCATGGTTTCCCCAGTGGCCTGTCCATCTAATTAATGACTTTTTATGTCCACAGAAGTGACGTGTGGAGGCAGTTGTACTGAGGAAGGCAGTTTACTTTGGGCAGTCCACGAACTCGTAGTCTGGTCCTGCAAGAAGACTCGGTAAACCGCCATTGCTCTGAGCAGTGCGTGTTAACTGCTGATATACGCTGTGTTGGCGTAGATCGGCGTACCCGGGATTGGCTTGTAAGAGTTGCGGACCACAGTGATTTGCCTATTGTGAAGTGTTGCTAGCAAGCTGCTAGAGGCTTGCCAGGGTGTTCGCTACCCCTGTATATGGTTGTAGGAGACCTCTGTCAGCGTGTTGCTGAAGCCCTCTGCCAGTGAGTAGCTGGAGAGCGGAGTTGGGGTTTAGGCACCTCGTGAGATTGTGTCGGTGGACTGGCCCACATAAAAGACGAATTCGCCAGTGTTTGCCAGTACGGGTGGACAGGGTACTGGACGGTGGAAACACTGGAGTTGACGAACACTGTAAACACATGTCCTGTGTGAAAGTGACACTGTTGTACATAAGTGTAGAAATAATGTATTTATATATATATATTGGTGAAGGGAATTGTCTTGTTTATCCCTCCTTATTCTTTCTTGCGCTATACAGCCAGTTCTTGAAAGCTTACTACCGATTTGGGGTCGGATACACTATGAGTTTATAACATAAAGAACCCGGTTACTGGTCCATAGTGGCCGTAGCACCTTCGTACTACGAATACACATAATCACCAACAGAACCTAAACACCTATGCCTATATATGCACAAAATGCTAATATATTGTAACATTAATCTATATTTGAGAAAATTCCCGTTTTGAATGAACAGCATGCAAAAATGAAAGAATGCGTCTGTAAGGTCGACCGCTCGATAGAATCGACTTGAGTCGACGGGTTGCATAAGCAATGGCCAAATGCTCGTTAACACTTTATACACTACTCACAACGGCTGTTCGATATTTTATTCCGAACAGTACTTTTACTCTCGTGCTCTGCTCAAATCACACCTCTAAATGCTTTACCCGAGTACTGCAAATGAAATTAACTGCCAACAAAACCTAATCGCCTAACCTATGCCCATTTATGTACAAAATTCCATCATATAAGATTACTTCATATACTGAATACGAAATTTGCGATTCTGAGTACACGGTGCACTCAAATTGATGAATACGTCTTTGGGGTTCAGCGGCAGCTTGGACGAGCATAGCCTAAGAGAGAGGGAATTATTAGAAGAAATCACCCAGCCATTACGACTATATAGCACTGGGAAGGGATAAGGATTTGGGATGGGACGGGGGGAATGAATGGTGCCCAACCACTTGGACGGTTGAAAGGTTGATGATATTCTTGAGAGATATAAGAATTTTGCACCAAGATTGTAATATTTTGTTGAATTATCTGCAGGTGTCTTGCAAATTGTCTATACAGTATACCTAGGTCATAAAAGTATTTGTGTGTACGTCTGATAACATACTACTTGTGAAGGAGGAAATGTATGTTTACCTCTCAGAATGTTTGGTAATATGTTTATTTGTGATGTGTGTCTATGTATATATTAACACGTTGTACTGAATGGGGTGAGAATAGCTTGAGCTACCTCATCCCTTTGTGTGTATTTTACCTCGATAAACTTATTTCAATTTCAACTTGGACGGTCGGGGATTGAACGCCAGCATAGTCAGAGAACGGGTTGGGCGTGAGACGTGTGTATACTGTTTCGTTGATAAACAATGGCGGGTGGTGGCGAGATTAACGAGAATTTGGCTGTTGTATATGAGGGACTATGTTTAAGAGGATGGTAAACCATCTATCTCAAGCTATAACACAAATACTGACTTGTGTAGATTTTAATGAGTCGTTATTTGACTTTTACAACAGACAACCAGCTGACAAGATGAATCATTCATTCAGTATAATAATAAAGGCTTATTTTCACATATGAATTAATATAATATATTGTGGGGGTTATACATAGGACGTGAAAGGTTAGGAAAGATGATAGTTGTATTAATTTAAGAAATATTTACAAATGTAGACCAAAATTGAATGACGCAAACTATGAAACATGGCTTCGAACAGTCAAACGGACTGTCAAATAATGACTTCTAAAGATTTTAAGATGTATTTTAAGATTTTACAAGTATGTAACTTGAGGTAGTGATCCTGACGGCTACTTGATGTAACCCGTCATCAAGCTATGTACTCATCAATGTTAACACTCGTGAGGTTAGACAAGCCTAATCTGAGGAGAGGTTGGCTGTGTGTGATGGAGTGTCTTCACTCGTACACGAGGAGTTTGGCTTTCATAAACAAAGCTCGTGGATACACGAGATTATGGCCTTTGTTTATGAGGACGGGCTGCTTGATGATGACGGGCTGGAGGACGGGCTGCAGGGCGGGCTGCTTGATGATGACGGGCTGGAGGACGGGCTGCAGGGCGGGCTGGAGGGCGGGCTGCAGGGCGGGCTGCTGATGATGACGGGCTGGAGGACGGGCTGCAGGGCGGGCTGCTTGATGATGACGGGCTGGAGGGCGGGCTGCAGGGCGGGCTGCTTGATGATGACGGGCTGGAGGGCGGGCTGCTTGATGATGACGGGCTGGAGGGCGGGCTGCTTGATGATGACGGGCTGGAGGGCGGGCTGCTTGATGATGACGGGCTGAGGGCGGGCTGCTTGATGATGACGGGCTGGAGGGCGGGCTGCTTGATGATGACGGGCTGCAGGGCGGGCTGCTTGATGATGACGGGCTGGAGGGCGGGCTGCTTGATGATGACGGGCTGGAGGGCGGGCTGCAGGGCGGGCTGCTTGATGATGACGGGCTGGAGGGCGGGCTGCTTGATGATGACGGGCTGGAGGGCGGGCTGCTTGATGATGACGGGCTGGAGGGCGGGCTGCTTGATGATGACGGGCTGGAGGGCGGGCTGCTTGATGATGACGGGCTGGAGGGCGGGCTGCTTGATGATGATGACGGGCTGGAGGACGGGCTGCTTGATGATGATGACGGGCTGGAGGACGGGCTGCTTGATGATGATGACGGGCTGGAGGACGGGCTGCTTGATGATGATGACGGGCTGCTTGATGATGATGACGGGCTGCTGGAGGACGGGCTGCTTGATGATGATGATGACGGGCTGCTGGAGGACGGGCTGCTTGATGATGATGATGACGGGCTGCTGGAGGACGGGCTGCTTGATGATGATGATGACGGGCTGCTGGAGGACGGGCTGCTTGATGATGATGATGACGGGCTGCTGGAGGACGGGCTGCTTGATGATGATGATGACGGGCTGCTGGAGGACGGGCTGCTTGATGATGATGACGGGCTGCTGGAGGACGGGCTGCTTGATGATGATGATGACGGGCTGCTGGAGGACGGGCTGCTTGATGATGACGGGCTGCTGGAGGACGGGCTGCTTGATGATGATGACGGGCTGCTGGAGGACGGGCTGCTTGATGATGAGGACGGGCTGCTGGAGGACGGGCTGCTTGATGATGAGGACGGGCTGCTGGAGGACGGGCTGCTTGATGATGATGGACGGGCTGCTTGCTGATGACGGGCTGCTTGATGATGACGGGCTGCTTGATGAGGACGGGCTGCTTGATGAGGACGGGCTGCTGGAGGACGGGCTGCTTGATGATGAGGACGGGCTGCTGGAGGACGGGCTGCTTGATGATGATGATGATGACGGGTTGCTGGAGGACGGGCTGCTTGACGATGACGGGCTGCTTGATGATGACGGGCTGCTGGAGGACGGGCTGCTTGATGATGATGACGGGCTGCTGGAGGACGGGCTGCTTGATGATGATGATGACGGGCTGCTGGAGGACGGGCTGCTTGATGCTGATGATGACGGGCTGCTGGAGGACGGGCTGCTTGATGATGACGGGCTGCTGGAGGACGGGCTGCTTGATGATGATGATGACGGGCTGCTGGAGGACGGGCTGCTTGATGACGACGGGCTGCTTGATGATGACGAGCTGGAGGACGGGCTGCTGATTTATAAAACGTGAGCGAAACTTTTCAAGAGATTGGCTTGGAACCAACCCGTCCTCGACTAGAGTCCATTACATCCAGCGGTTGACCCCACAGACGCATTCCTAACTTTTAACATGCTGTTCATTCAAAACTGGAATTTTCTTATATATAAATTGACATTAAAATATATTAGCATGTTGTGCATATATAGGTTAAGTTAGGTGTTTAGGTTCTGTTGGCGATTATTTGTAGTAAGTAGTATGAGAAAATTACTATTTTGAATGAACGGCATGTTAAAATTGACGAATGCGTCTTTGGGGTCGACTGCTGGATGGAAATGACTTGGTCTGAGGACGCGTTGAAATATTAACAGAACCTGAACAGAAAACCTAATTTTGGCCTAACTATACATCGAAATGTAATATATAATAATCCTAGTTGGGGTACTCGGCTGCATCCGGCTCGCCTCTATTTCTAAAGTGAGCGAAGGAAGGGGGGAAGGGGAAATGGAGGGAAAGAGGTTAGAGAGGGTAGAGAGTAGGGTGCATAGGGGAGGGGCGGGTCTCCATTTCGTAACAGACATACAAGACTGCTACCCCGTCACTTGGAGTAATTAAGCGACCATAACACAAATGGTAAAACAGGGAGAGAGGTGTATATACTAAGGCGGCATCACTCGTCGAAAACTGAATTTAGAATATATATAAAAATTATATAAACTTTCATATAGAATAAGTTGTACTTCTGAGTGTTTGAGCCGGCTGCCCTCGCCTCAGGATCAAATGTAGCTTTCCTTGTCGTTCTTAATGGTCGAGATGCTGGAAACAGTCTTCAGATTATTCCAATGTGCAGACGAGGAGGCACAATAACGTGGCTGAAATATGTTGAACATAACACACTAGAAAGTGAAGGGACGACGACGTTCCGGTCCGTCCTGGACCATTTTGAAGTAGATTGTGTGGGCCATTCACACAATCGACTTGAGAATGGTCCAGGACGGACCGGAACGTCGTCGTCCCTTTCTAGTGTGTGGTCTGGTCAACATCATTCCAATGTGACAAAGTTGTCATCACACATATATTTTCAATCTTTATATTTGATGGAATGTTATACAACTGGAATAGCTCTGACAATTGTTGTTTTAATATATGGCTGGTCGCCTTGCGTTGGGTTCCTAGGATCAACGTCCACGAGTAATGCATCCAAGTAATGCCGATTTGTCTCGGTCTGTATTTAAAGGAACCAATAATTAGAAGGCTTAGAGACCCCTGCACAGTCAATGATGCTCCCGCGGCCTGATCATGTGGGATCTGGCCGGTGACTGGATGGGTGACTGCACTGGTAGCATCGCCCTTGTCTTGGGGGAACCTCGATAAACATAGCTATGTATCCCATCTCCGTCAATAGTACATAATAACTCACACTCTGTAGACACTAACAGATAAGTACAGCTAGGTGAGTACATTTAGCGCGAGTAATTTACACTCGTACTGAAACCCATTTAAACAATTATTTGCAGATGATATAAGACTATTTAGTACCATTGATTGACTTGTTTAACAAAACCTGTATAGTCTTTCTTTTGTATATACAAATATGATGCATATTCTATATATTATTAAGAGTCACTGAGGCAGAGTACGACAGCATCATAGTACAACAATACCGACACCAGTGTACGATGATCTTCGACGCCTGGCACGATGCGCACAAGAAACTAGTCCGCCCTCTTCTCTCCTCTCCCTCTGCTCGCTCGGTGTATATCATAAAAACACTCGACACACCATATAATATCACAATGATGAGCCTACGAGCGATGGAGGGATAAAGCAGGGGAAATGTTGAGCGGTGGCGAGGGAAGCAGCCCTGCCAGACTTTCATATAATGGCGGCTGGCGGTATGAGTCCATCAGTCTGCCGTGAGCGATGGCCGTGAGGACACTCGCATTCGTCTCGAGAGAGCGATAAGTCTCAGTGGCTCAATTTGTTTACCATTCGTCCAAGAACATTAAGGAACCCGTGTTATAAGCGACTATATATATATATATATATTACAAGATACAACTGCTAACGGATATATACAAAAGTGTTATATCGCCATAAGAAAAAGAATTGTAGAGCAACTGACGTTTCCGGAAAATAAAGGCGTTATTTTTACTGTGGGTGGCGGATATATGAAGTGTTGAAGGTAATACTTGCCGTCACTGTTGTCATTACCAGGACCTGATAGTGAACCTCTTGGTGCTCATGACGAGACTCGGTGTATTTTATAATGCTTTAGAGAAATGGTTATTCACCAGCTTAAATGGTGCAGACTGGGCCTGGTGCGCCTCGCAGCTGGGTGGTGGGGGGCTGTCGCAGCTGGGTGAGGGGGAGCTGTCGCAGCTGGGTGGTGAGGGCTGTCGCAGCTGGGTGGTGAGGGCTGTCGCAGCTGGGTGGTGGCTGGTCGCAGCTGGATGAGGAGCTGTCGCAGCTGGGTGATGGGGGGGTTGGCTGTCGCAGCTGGGTAAGGGAGCTGTCGCAGCTGGGTAAGGGAGCTGTCGCAGCTGGGTGAGGGAGCTGTCGCAGCTGGGTGAGGGAGCTGTCGCAGCTGGGTGAGGGGGATGTCGCAGCTGGGTAGGAAGCTGTCGCAGTTTGTAGTGTCATAACTGGCGGATATTATTACTTAATGTGACCAGAGAACTAGTGACTGGTCTGGTGGCATGCAGTGTTGGCTGCTATAGAAAATCTGCCGCCCTGTGCACACTTCTTTAATTCTGATTATTCTAGCCCAGTAGTGATATGTTGTGGATCAGTATGATAGCCATGAAGTCCGGTGCCCTAGCCCTTGTCTGACAGCCCCGGAGCGCAGTGCCATAGTCCCGTAGGCCTAGTGTTGTCCGAGCAATGGGCCGTAGACCTTTAGTGCTATGACATGGTTCCATAAATGTTGCATGCCTATAACTGTATACTGCTGTCTTCTGTTAGCCTGCTCTGTAATGCTGCAGTGTAGCTGTGTAATGGCGTGTTCTGTCCGTCACGCGCTTGGTCCAGCATTTTTGTGAGCAAAGTAACCTTGTTGAAGGCGGTGTTCGTGACATACTTGACAAGGTCGTGTGGCGCCGCCGCCGCCTCCCCGTGTTGGGGATTAGTGCTTCCCGTGGCCAGCAGCAGCAGCCTACTGTGTTGATAGGTGGTTACTGTGAAGGCATTGTTGCAGAAGGGGGGAGAGATGGTGCTTGGGTAGAGGTGGTGTTGCAGAGCGGTTGAAGTGATTTTGTAGAGTTAGTGAAGAAAGTGGCTATGGTTTCACAAGCTGCTGCGTCCACTGATGTTGCAAACTAGACTGGAAATGCTGTGAGCGTCGTATGGAAACACTGCCACATGGTACTAATGATGAACATGATCACAAATCTTTTGTGTAGTTTGTTTGAGAGCACCTCGCAGATTTACACTTGATATGTAGGCTGTGAAGGCTAAATTATTTGTAGTTTATTGATAGAGGAATCTTCTATCTCTGCGAAGTTGTAAATACGGTGTTTGGGCTTGGTTGGCATGTAGGGAATTGTGTAAAATTTTATTCTTGTTGGTTATTCATATTGATGAAATTTATTCCTGAATGAAGATATTACTAATTTTCATGTTTTTAGTGTGTTCCGTTTCCTGTTTCTCTTTACAAAAGGATATATATATATATAATATATATAAAGCGGTAGGTGGCAGCTATAATGTGTTGCCTAATGAATGAGCACATCTTTTGTGTGAAGATGTTTGATATTTTCTAATTGAAAATACTTATTTAAATGTAAAGGGTGGCTTTCAACCACCTTTGAATGACTTGATTTATTAATGACTTTGTTTATTATGTTACAATACGTATATAATTGATCTTTAATTTCCATCAGTTTCTCGCTGCCTGCAATGCGTAATATCTTTACAATTGACGTGAGCAACCGCGTTGTTTCAACACTTGATTTATGTTCTTGTAATGGCTTGGCATCAACTCGTAAAACAAATTTGCTGAAGTATACTAAACCTTTGTGCCGTCCTCAGCAACGGCTTGCCCAGCATGCACCCCAGCTGCCCTGTTGTTTCCTGACTAGCTTGCCCTCTGCTGCGACGCTTGTTTCTTCCTCGGCCAGTGTATAGGAGGCACGCCAAGCTCTTGTCTTTTTGCCTCGCCATGATTGTATACAGGGAGACAAGGGATGGAGTGCAAACATGTTGGTAAAGGTCGCGGCCTCTTGCTACCAGTTTTGCTTCTAGCACACAGCTGCTCCGCCGCCCGTGTCAGCCCCCTCCTCCCCACTCCCGTTCCTCTCCACTCATCTCTCCCCTTCCCTACCCTCCGTGTCCCCCTTCCCCCCCCCATCCACGTCTGCAGCATGAATCGCCCCTCACCCGCCTCTATTTTATCCAGGGACAAGTCACGTACAACCTTTTGTATAATCCTTGGGGTGATAACTGTTCCCAGAGGCAGGATGTAGTGTGGAACATTTTGCTGGCCCGAAAACGGTAATATTGTATTAAATATACAACAGTAAATAACAGCATATATAGGCCTATGTTGCTTTCAGTTTTTCGCATTATTGTATTCTTATAATTGATAATGACATTTTCACTTGCAATTGTTAAATCATAGTTTGATAGTGGAATTGTACTTGGTTGCGGGTGTCATTTGGGAGTGGGTTTTGTTGATGGGAAAGCATGTCTATCCGTAGTAACTTCTTTACACTAAATCCGGTGCTTATCTTCCACAGGTGTCGCTGCGTCCACGTCGAGTGTTGTAGTGCAACACAAGTGTAGTGTAGTGTTGAGTGTAGTGTACAGTGATCAATGATGATGAATGAAGTACAGGAATATGCACGTCATGGGCCGCGTCTCCAGCCCCTGCTGGCCAGACAGAAGGCGCTGCCTGACCTGTGTCCCGCAGCAGAGACTAATTCTGCCCACACCGCCCAGAAAGAGGAGGTGGGCCCGCCCGTGCCATCCGTGGTGGTGAGGGGCGGTACGGGTACTACTACCACAGGAGGGGCGCTGTCGCCTACGGCAGCCCCCGGGGCGGCGCCAACTTTCCCAACCGTGCCCACTCTGGTGGGGGGCAAGTACTTGCTCACCCGCCCCCTCGACCACTCCGCCTGCCACGCAACACACATCCACACCCGCCAGAGCCTGCTAGTCAAGGTGAGACTCCACCCATCACACCTGCAAAAGGTGTTAGTAGGCGGACAAACTATCTCGCTATTGTTAGGCATGTAATCTTAGGAGGTTGGGCTGGATATACAATACTTGGAAAAGTAACTGGGTGAAGGCTTGAAGTAAAGTGCACATTAGCAGCTTAAGTATTCTAATAAATTAGCCTTTTTTCTATTTGCATTAATATGAAAGGACATATTCACTATTGTTATGCTAATGTTATATAAACAGCGAAAACATACTAAAATTATCAAATGGAAATATTTTAGTGAAATGTATTTAATCGCAAAGATAAAAATTAAGAAAAAACGTACTGCTGCAGTCGAGTTAAAATCATGACTAATTTGCCACATCATATAATGGCGCTAATTGTGATAATCTAGTGTTAGGTTGCCTGTTGAGGGCTGTGACCTCTTGCACAAATAACCGGTAATAACCTTAACCCGATAATTGGTTTCTTGTCAATGGCAGCCCATAATGATATGACCTTCACACCCCTCTTCATGTATTGTATAATTGTTGATATGTTCAACAAGATGAAAGAGCTCGGGCATATTTTGTTATATACTGTATATACTCTCGAGGAAAATGAACGCAAAGTGCTTGAGAGCTTACACATATCTTCCGAAGTGGTTTTAAAAATGCACAAAAGCGCACTCGATCCTTCCCGTCCTCTCTAGCGTTCACAACGTCACTAAACTGATGTACTAAATTGCCAAAACCTAACAAGACAGGACTCTCGAACAGAAAATTGGACATCGCGTCATTTTTGCGAGCCGCTGTGATTTTTAGCACTGTATCTTGCTTTGAAGTTGGTGATTTTTACGTCTAAATACGGTAACGGCTACCTTGAGGGGAGGTAATTTTGGGGCTAAGCGACCCCGCGGCCCGGTCGTCGACCAGGCCTCGGTGTTAGGTGAGAGGACAGGGTCTCATTACCGTTCATTTTCCTAATTTGTAGTCAACACACTTGTGTACACACACCTAGTTGTGTTTGCAGGAGTTGAGCTTCGGCTCTTTGGTCCCGCCACTCAACTGTCAATCAACTGATGTACAGGTTCCTGAGCCTATTGGGCTCTATCATATCTTCTTTTGAAACTGTGTATGGAGTCTGCCTCCACCACATCACTGCTTAATGTATTCCATTTGTTGAGGTTTAATTCTTGTAACCTTTCCTCGTAACTCATACCTCTCGGCTCTGGGACTATTCTGGTGGCATACCTCTGAATCTTCTCCAACATTGTCTTGTGTTTAATTAGGTATGGACTGGATTGGTCTGACATGTGGTATACAAGGTTCTGAATGATTTCTTACGCAAGTTTCTGAAGGCTGTTCTTATGTTGGCCAACATGGCATACGCAGCTGATATCCTTTTGAGTGTACTCACCTAGCTGTTATAGCGAGGGTTGAGCTTTGGCTCTTTGGTCCTGCCTCTCGACTGTCACTCAACTGATAGTGTGTGCGTGCGTCCAGTACGTACGTACCTTATAATGAGTGTGTGTCTCCAAAACTTTCACCACATGCGGCATATTACCAGTATGAATGTGCATATTTATCCTGCTGATTATCCTGTAATGTAACAAAATATTTCAACAAATTCGCCGTGTAAAGACAATAGGGTACATAGCCTATCTAAAATATGCATTTTTGCACAGTTCACAATTTCACCTTTTGTAAAATTAAGAAAAAGGTCGTAAACATAAACAATGATGCAATTAACCTGACCTTGGCCAAATATACTACATAAATGTACCATTGTAAGACCTAGAGTAGATGAACTGTTACATGCTAAAGCCCCCATATTCTGCAACCCGTTCTCGCACTTGCTTATAGTCAATATTGGCTTATTTAATAAGTGCATATGTGACATACTAATTGATTCTAAATATTTTAGTTTACCTTGAAAAGCTTCATAGAAAACACCGACCTCACCTAACCTTCTTAGTATGTTAAGACAAGCATCTTATTGCTTCTTATTTACAATTATTACTTAACCTATCAACGGGTATCATTCTGGGTATAGACCTGAAGCCTATTATCGCGTATAGCTTTAACGGAATGTGAACCCACTGAGATTTAACCCTTTGTATTTCAACAAAAACTCAACCAGTGTAAGATAATCAGTGTGTGGGATACGAATGGTGATTTTCAGTTAAGCAAGGTCTTTTGCGGGCTACGAATTTCATTGTCTTTTTAGTGTTGTTGGCGACATTAATTTCAGCAGTTTTAATTACCAGAGCTATTTTGGTGATTCAGCTGGTATGATAAGAGGTTTTCTTATGCTGCCCATTGTGGAATACCGAAACCCAAACACCAGTTTTTTTTTGTTATATAATCTCCGCCGGTAAGGAGCCGGTTCTGTTGGCGTATCACTGGCGTTTCACCTTTTCAAGTAGCTTTTCTTCTCATAACGGCATTTTGCGTCACCAGCTGGGACGGTGATAACACTATCAGCAGATAACACTGCGGGAAGTGCACCCAGTGCGAGGGTAGCGACTCTAGACTGTAATCACGATACGACTGACCTGCCCACCCTATGGCTGCCAACGGCTTTCATTAACAGAGTTATAATATTTAAATGTAAACTAGTAGGTATGCACATGATTTTGAGAGATACTGTACTTGTAGATAGGTACCGTACTATATTGTGTCTACTATAATACTAATTTTCTTAGGCATGTGAATATTCATAATTATTGTGCTATGACCTCCGAAATGGCAGATGAATATATTTTTTTTTTGACTCGCCCACATTCTAAATATCATTGTAATTGAATAACAAAGCCCCGGAAGGGCTATATTGCCTTGTAGCCAAGCTCACTCTCATACTTGAGTCGTCGATCATTTCACTCTGAATAAATAGTATTAATATGAATAACTCTTGAGGTCCCAGAAGAAAAACGATATATATTCTTCAAGTAAATTCACGGGGCTGCTCTTGAAGGATTGAAGACAATAAACATCTGTGTTCAAAGACAGGCAAGTTTTTGTTATCCAATCTATGAGAATATGCTGCTTGATAACAGTTCTACTCTGCAAATTTGGAGTATTTACACGAACTTAAAGGACAAAACTGACTATTTCAAGATTTAAAAACTAATACGTGATATCAGCACATAATATCGCAGGGAAATCATGTTAACCAAAGAACTAGGACATACAGAACGTTGTCGATAGTGGAAGCTTGCGAGAAACCACGTCTAGTTTCTAAGGTCTCTGTGACCTGCCGGTGTGGACACTCATCACGGCGATAACGATTAGGCAAGCAGATGATAGGCGAGCTATCACGTGCACCACTGAGCAGGTTTTGTGTTGTACATCCCCAAGCTCGGCCTGGGGCCAGGCTTGTCTTGTGATAACTTGATCCAAAACGGCTGTAACTTGGGCCGGTCCGTAGGACTCGTGTATCCATTACAACCCGGTTGGTCCGGCGCTTCCAGCAGGAACTTGTGTAAGCATGTTGAAGGTCCTCTGCACAAACGAATCTAGTCCTATCTCCTTCACCAGTGGTTCCTGTACGTTTCATCGTCTACATGAGTCTGTTGTCTTCCCTAGGCCAAATATAGTAAAAAAATGTACTATATTTGAATTGTATTTCATAAATTTGGTCTGGGATTGCTTAAAATAGACCTTGGAGAGATTAGATTTCTGTCAATTTTTGGTAGTTTACAACTTCAATAACACAAACTAAAGACTGAGTGCAGCAGTCCACATTTTGTACATGTGCATGTTTGTTTCTATATTTACTATAATTTTAGTATGACGGTTTGTGTACGCGGGTTACTTATGCAACGCCGCGTAAGCTGTCATCACACCGTTCTGGTCTCGTGGTATGTAAACACGGTCAACAAGTGATCTGAGGACCCTGGTAAGTCCACTACGGGCTCACCATAGCCCGTGCTACTTGGAACTGGCTGAATCTATAACAACCAAAAGAGATCTGATCAAACTCGACGAGTGGGCTTTGTTTCGTAGCGTGATGCGTATGGGTCCAGCCTGCCGTACTGCCTTCATAACGGCATGTTCAGCCTCAGGATAAGTGACAGTTTGACATACCCGTCCCTACCTTACCTTCCTGTTGTTGGCTCCGGGGAGCAATGTCCCCGCGGCCCGCTCTCGGACCACACCCCAGCGCAAATGTTCCACAAGATTAAACAGGTTTCTTGAGTTAAATATAATTTTACAACCACACAGCCTTCCAGCCATTAGCCATAATTGTAAAATATACATTAAATTCAGACTAAAGACCTCCTAGTATGTTACATTACCCATGTCTATGCAAAATATTACGCCTGTAGCCTACGTTAAATTTATGCCATGTACAGGCTCACAATTCTTGCCTCTAGTTTGGTAGTATTAATTTTGATGCTCTTCCTAGCCTATACATATCCAATATATTAGCCGTTTTAAAACAGCGTAATCTCAAATGTTTTCAAAGAAATTGTTTGGATTACGTTATTGTGTAAATGCTCCGTATCCTCGAAAGGGACTATATATGCTGACCCGTTTTTCTATTCATGGGACCTCGGTTAGGTTAGGTTCGGGTAATTAGTACATCAGTTTAATAATGTTGCGACCACTCGAGATATCGGGCTGGGTGGAGTTATTGGTTCCCAACGTCAAGAAACTGTCGTACTAAAACGCCTTGCCCTACCCTAACCAACCAGAGGACCCACGAACAGAAAACGGGACCAGTGTCAATTTCACGAGCCGCTAACATTTTCTAGTACCAGTGTTTGGTCTTGGGTAAAATATACGTCAACATGCGACGTTCTGTTAGGTGGGTGGGTTGATATGCCACCGCTATTAACGTATGTTTGGCCATTTGGGTATTCATGCCCCCCGCCAGTCACCGTGGGGCAGAGAGACATGTACATACAACATAAGTGTTCTTAACCTTGCCCACCATTGCACTCCTCCATACTAATAACGCTCCCCAATACACCACAATTCTATTATGAATTGTACCAATGGTTTCCACCACTGAACTAACAGTGCCGTGCAACAGAAACAAAATATTATAATATCTTGAAAATGACGCCCACCTCCACAATTAACCATCACCAAAACTACAAAAAACTACTAGAACCACAATCACACAAAACTAGGAAAATCAGGACTACAAACATCGCAAGTATAACTACCTACTACCTTAACCATTACAAACACAACCTCTACTCCATGCTTATTACTCTCACAGCTAATTACACCAGCTTGCCTGTATTCAAGAGACGTGTCGGCCCAGGGATGTACTCGTTAGAAGACTGTTATCATTACATTTCCTGTACACATTACACAACCATGTTTGTGTTAGAAATATACCGGGCTGTGGATACCCTTCTGGTAACTTGCCGTCGAATTCAGGCGTTTGGACTTTCTCAACTAGTGTTGAGTGGCGGGTTCCAGAGAAAGATGTTCAGGTAAATCACATCTCCACCACATGGAAAGTCGTGCTGTGTGTAAAGTAGTTGTTCACTATTTCAAACAATAGGAGCAAGAGTGCTATTCGTTGTCCGTAAATATGTTGTGATCCCTGAAAAAGTTGGTGAGGTGGGGTTTGATTGTTTCTCGGAGCTTGCAGACTTGGGAGTTTTCTGTTGAACTTGTATCTTTGGCTGGAAGATTGGGGTGACGTTTGCAGATTTTCAGTTCCGATACACTTCCTTGGTCCAGTGATATTGATAACTTGTCGGCTGTCTCGTTTATGGTATTAAACTGCATTCCGACTACCTGTTATGCTCTTAGAGAACTGCAAATCGACCTTAGACCTATTTATTGTTCTTGTTTTGCACTTAATGAGTAGCCTTGTTTGTTGTCCCTTCAACAGCAAGGTGTGCGTGTAAAACAACAATTATAAGGTAACCTGTTGACGTTTCCACATAAAAATTTAGATTTTTTTTATCTCTGACTATTATCCGGTGAGTGAAACGTTTGTGCATGTTTACTAGCAGTAAATATGTATCTGAGAATTAGGCAACTGTTGTGGGTTGTATCTTGGAGGCTAGTTGTTGGCCTTTGGGGTACTTCGTTGAGACTAACACACTTCTTTCCCAGACAATGGAAATGCCATAATATTCTTCTTCCTGGACTGAATTCCATTGTCAAATATTATGGCCACAAGAGGACGAGAGTTTTCCTTCGGTCTGAATTTGATTGACTGTGTGTGTGCGTGCGTAACACCTTTGTCTGTGGAGGGAGGTATTGGTGTCCTTCCCTCTTGGCTATCAGGTATCTGGTGGATTTATGCCTTGACCTTCTAGTGAATTACATTATATCTGCTCTTCTTGCTGAATATGGTGGTAGCCTCGGCTTCCACATGTTGCCCCTCAATCTATTTCTCGGAATCCGGTCACCCTCTCAGTATCTTGTACATTGTGATCATGTCTCCAGTGGTTATTCCCTCTTTTATCCTGTAGTGATAGCCAAGTTTATTTTTTACTTATGATATGTATTTTGTAGCAAATCTCAGGATTTATCGATATTCCTGTGCTTTACAAAGTGGGACTTTCATACTGACACGAGTAAGGTATTAGAGGATTGGTTTGGTTTAGGCTATGAAGCGTTTCGAATGATTTCATGGGTCTGGCTTCCTAGCACTATATATTGAACCATAGATTAATTCTGCTCTCATAGACTTACTGTATGGTTTTAACTTTTTGTGGCTTTTGCACTGTTCCTGGTTATGTGATCCATCTCATACTTTATCTCCTTTTCTTTAATCTAGCTTCCTTCTCAGCTCATTTGTTGCTCTGTTCCTTCCCTTCAGTTCTATTGGAACACGGTGATGTTCTAGTGACAGGTTCTATATGGCTTTTCATATTCTCTCTCCGTATCCATAAAGCCCTCGTTGGTTTAACCGTTTCATAAAGATATTCCTTACTGCAATTTCTACTCATTTTGCTCTCGACGTGTCATCTGTATCACGGTGATCGTTTATTACCCAATTAATTTCTGTGGTTGAAGTTTCAAATTAGAAACGGCATTTTTCAGTTGACGCCATTGCTGCCGTGTGTGCAGTTAGGCTTGCTTTGTTGCTTTAGGCAAGTTATATTTATACATGGGTCTCGTACTGTTGGGTGGGGGGGGAGGGTTGTATACGAATCGCCACTACTTATTGATAACATGACCATTAAGAAGAGAGATCGCTTCTCGGCCTTTTGGCTAAGATCAAAGTGCATTAAGAAGCCCCCGTTGTTCTTTCGTCGGACTTTTAATGTGCAGCTGTGACATAAGTGTTGGTGTGCAGGTGTTGGGTAGCGGGGAATCAACTGGAGAAGTGTTGGGCCAGTACGCCGCGCATCTCATTACTCACCAAATACCTTTCCTTGTTTACAGACTCTAGACGGGCGGGCGGCGCACGACCTGGTGGCTCACCACGCTCTCATGGGAGGGTGCGAGGGCGTGCGCTCCCCGCTAGAAATGGTGGTGTCGGCGTGCAGGCGGCGGGCGTGGGTGGTGTTCCCAGCGCACCATGGCGACCTCCACTCGTACGTGCGGGTGCGGCGGCGGCTGCGGGAGGTGGAAGCCCAGAGGCTCTTCGCCAAGGTTGCCGCCACCGTCGCCGCCTGCCATGACGCAGGGCTCGTTCTCAGGGACTTAAAGTTACGGAAATTTGTCTTCACCGACCCGGACAGGTAAGTTGGCGGTCCAGTTGTGGCCTTTCAATTACCGTGCTGTTTTGCATGTTGGTGTATTTCAATATGGGGTTATTTTTCATATTTTTATTTGTATATCTTGTTTATTTTATGTAAATTGGTGTTAATATAGTTGAGCACACTTTAAGAAGCAGTCTTGGCTGCATTTGCCAAGGCTAAGTCTCATTATTAGCGAGTCCTTAAGCTATTGGAACTTTTTAACCACTTATTTCTCGTCTATAATAAGTGAATACTCGTTTAGTTGTCCATAATATTAGCATTAGTTCTTGGCTGTCGTGATTGACTCAAATCTCTCAAATATACAGATATTAATATCTGTTGGAGGCAGCTGATGGCAGGAGGAATCTGTATTTAACCCTTCTCTGTAGTGGACCGATACTATCGGTGAGGTTGACATTTAATCTTTCTGTTTCTCCTTTCGCTGGGTTGTTTCTAAACTTATTTCCATGTGCAGTGGTAAGCGCGGTCCGATTAGTGGGAAAATTCCGGGTTCAACTGCCGCTGTAGGACAGAAGTATTTGGGCATCGTTTGATTTCCACCCGATTCCTTCACTTGATGTTGGGAGGTAGACACTGTCAAGAAGTCGTTGTTCTTATCTGGAGTTTAGATGGAAACGGTTCCTGGAGTTCTACTTCCCAAGCCCGGCGTGAGGCCTGGCTTGACTTGTGATTACTTGGTGCAGCAGACTGCTGGGGAAGTATATATAATGGTAGTAGGGTGACTACCTTCATATATACTTGAACATAATTAAGTGCTTGTGTGGGTTAAGCTTCGACTATTTGATCCCGCCTCTCGACTGCAAATCAATTAGTGGAAAGGTTCCTAAGCTTATTGGACACTCATGTTTAACTTCAGACTGTGTGAATTCTGCCTCTACCACCATATTTCTTAGTGTAGTCCATTTGTTTACGACGCTGACACTGAAAAAAGTCTCTTTGGCTCATCTAGGTACTCGGTTTCCACCAGTGTTCCCCCTGTGCGAGTGGGGAAGGTGGTGGTGGAGCAGTATGTGAAGATAGGGATGGTAGTGGTAGGTCAGTAAGTGTGGGGGTGGTAGTTGTGGTGGGGCAGTAAGTGTGGGGATGGTGGTGGGGCAGTAAGTGTGGGGATGGTGGTGGGGCAGTAAGTGTGGGGATGGTGGTGGGGCAGTAAGTGTGGGGATGGTGGTGGGGCAGTAAGTGTGGGGATGGTGGTGGGGCAGAAAGTGTGGTGGTGGTGGTGGTGGCAAGGCAGTGGTGCAGGACACTCACCTGAAGCGGCCACCAAGGTCACCACCACCAACCTGCTCTCTTGTGTGAGGGGAGGATCGGAGGGGGAGGATCGGGGGGGGAGGGATGGGGAGGTGTCCCTGGGGGAGTGGTGCAAGTGCGACAACCCGTCTCCGTCAGACGACCTGTAGGGCGGGGCGCGCCTGAAGGACGGCGGCGGCCGGTATAAACAAACGATGGTCGCAGAGACGGGTATAAATGGCGTGTTCGGCGGGACAGGAACTTGGAGTAACACACGTAATATGTGCAGGGTCGGCGGCCATTTAGCAAATGGGTCAACTAGGTGGTGTGGGGAGGCAGGTGTATTGTGGTATGAATGGGTCAACTAGGTGTGGGGGGGAGAAGTGTATTGTGGTATGAATGGGTCAACTAGGTGGGGGGGGAGGTGTATTGTGGTATGAATGGGTCAACTAGGTGGGGGGGGAGGTGTATTGTGGTATGAATGGGTCAACTAGGTGGGGGGTGTATTGTGGTATGAATGGGTCAACTATGTGGGGGGTGTATTGTGGTATGAATGGGTCAAGTAGGTGGGTGGGTGGGGGGGGGGGCAGGTGTATTGTGGTATGAATGGGTTAACTAGGTGGGGGGGGGGCAGGTGTATTGTGGTATGAATGGGTCAACTAGGTGGGTGGGTGGGAGGGGGCAGGTGTATTGTGGTATGAATGGGTCAACTAGGTGGGTGGGGGGGGGGCAGGTGAAGTGGGTGTGGCATAACTTAAGTAGAAGAACAGGTGTAGTTGGTTACCTAGGTGAGGAACAGGTGGTGATGAGGGGTGGGGGGGGGCGGGGGTTCTGCTTGTTTGGGGATGGTGGTCGTGGGTGAACACCCCCCCCCTTACTCCCCACCCCGTACCCCCCACCCCTTACCCCCCAGCACCCACCATACCACATTCCTCGCCGGCCGTCAAAAGATAAGGATCAGTCTGCTGGGTGTTCCCGAGTGGTGACTGCTGTGGTGCTGCTGCTGCTCCTGCTGTTGTTATAGCCTTCTCCTTCCCCTCCTCCTGCTGCTGCTTTTTATTGGTGTTCTCTTCTACCTCCCATTATTTGTTCTAGTCTCCCAGTACTCCAGTACTCACAAGCAGGAGTGACTCAACTTCTCCAAGAACCTCCCATACGGGGGTTTGGAGGTAGCCTCTCCCGTAGGCGTATGGAGTGATTCGCAAGGTTCCTCGTGTCATATGTGCGTTCAGGTATTCCTAAATTAGTTTTCTCTTTAGCGAGGTGTATTTTAATCACACTTGAGGTGGTGTGCGGACCATGTTAATGCAGCGTATTCAATTGGCGCCATCACGCACCTGGTGCACATTGTTCTCAATGATTCATTGAATAGGTTCGTAAAGGCGGGGTTTGAATTTGCATAGCCTACGTTGTTGAAGTGAAATTTGTTCATATTCAATTTATTTTTGCACCGGAGGGCTATAGTTCGTTGGGCAGCGTCACTCATCTTGTGAGTGAACATTCCGCCAGAGTGACAGTATTGGGCAGCGTCACTCATCTTGTGAGTGAACATTCCGCCAGAGTGACAGTATTGGGCAGCGTCACTCATCTTGTGAGTGAACATTCCGCCAGAGTGACAGTATTGGGCAGCGTCACTCATCTTGTGAGTGAACATTCCGCCAGAGTGACAGTATTGGGCAGCGTCACTCATCTTGTGAGTGAACATTCCGCCAGAGTGACAGTATTGGGCAGCGTCACTCATCTTGTGAGTGAACAGATTTGGTGTGATAGGCTTTCCTGTGACTCTTCCCTTTCTTAGGCGCTGCCGTCTCTAGAAGCTGGACAGTGCCGGGTCTCCTTTCTCCCAAATTATTTCTTATCGATTTGCCGATATTAAACTCCAGGAGACGTTTGCTAGACCATTCTTTGTTTCTTGTCATTTTGCCGTCCACTATTATCCAAAATAACTTCATACGTAAACATCTATATAATATTCCATCAGGACTTTTTATGTATAAATCAGAGATAATATGGGTCTTTGGAGTGATCTCTGCTGAACTCCTCTTGTTGCGTCTGTTGAATATTCTCTTGTCAAGGTTGACAAGAGAATATTCTCTCACTTTTCCGATGAGATAGAATGAAAGAGAAGGAGGAAGAGCGCGCGCGCGTGTGGGTGCGGGAATGGTGATACAAGAACAGAGAGATGCCGCCCAGGACGGCCTTAGTGTCTCGCCTTGGTGAGGCCGGCTGGTCGACCCACACGCCTTGCCGAGTCCTCGCCACCACCCGCTTCCTATGCCTTGCTCGCTAAATGACCCCACAGGCTCAACACTGCAGACAGACCGAAAAAGGGGCGTCCTTAATGTGTCCTTCCATACCCCCGCCTCCCACACCTTCGCCCTCCTCACCCATTCCACTGTTTTGAGCCTCTCGTCATGCGTCAAATTCTTGCAGAACGTGTGTGTGTGTGTGTGTGTGTGTGTGTGTGTGTGTGTGTGTGTACTCACCTAGTTGTGTTTGTGGGGGTTGAGCTCTGGCTCTTTGGTCCCGCCTCTCAACCGTCAATCAACTGGTGTACAGATTCCTGAGCCTATTGGGCTCTATCATATCTACACTTGAAACTGTGTATGGAGTCAGCCTCCACCACATCACTTCCTAATGCATTCCATTTGTGTGTGTGTAACACCTACTTCATTACACACCTACTCCATTATTCGTGACAATAGTCACGAATTCGTACGTAATTGCTTTTGATTGTAGTATACTGACTAGTAAGGAATTCTTTTAAAATGAAGCTACAAAACAAACTTAAATATTCATCTGCCTAATATATAGCACACACATGTACTATATCAGGCCTAAGAAGGTTAGGTTAGGTTAGTTTGTCAAAGCAACACAAGTAAAAAGTAGTTTTCCGGTATGTTAAACTCAATAGTTCAGATTTCTACTTTCTAATGTCGTACGTCGGTATATATACTATGGTCCTCAGCGTTACTATAAGTACTACCAAAATAGGAGGACGGGCTGCATGAGGTGATAGGAAACGCGGCCAACCATTTCTGCTACAATATAGAATTTTGCTACAATTAAGGTGGTAGATGCTTCTGCTGCGTAACATTTTAGGGGTTGACAAATGTCAATCTTGTTTGATAAGACTTCACTTGAGACAGTTAAGCAAGTCCCAGCTGTGTCTGGGTACAAGTGACACGATGAACAACCCAGTGGGTTTTCTTCCTATTGGGGAGTGTTGTACATGCTGCTATGGCGGTGTGTCCACTCACAGGATGAGTGGCGCTGCCCAATACTGTCACTATGGCGGTGTGTCCACTCACAGGATGAGTGGCGCTGCCCAATACTGTCACTATGGCGGTGTCTCCACTCACAGGATGAGTGGCGCTGCCCAATAAACTCGCCCCTCGGGGCAAAATTAAAAAATAATAAACTACTCCTATTGTAACCCCCTATCTGATACCCACTGTTGGATTACACACTGGTGCTCTTAATTATATTTCCTTAGTCTACACAATATTCAGAGTTGAGTGTAACCTGGTACTACTAGTCTCTCACAGAACCAGTGGTACGTTAAAGGAAATGCTTATTATCTGTTCAAAGGAGAAACCCCGGCTGCCACCACCCCATTACTTATTCGTTACTAAAATAGTATGAATAATTACCAATTGGTGGAACGCCAGTGGTTCGTGGGGGAAACCACCGTGTCCTCTTGTCTTTAACTACTACTGAGAGATGTCTTCTTTTGTTGTGATCACTTA